TTTTGTTCATACAGAACCATTTAAAGCATTTACTGACTCCCCATGTACAGAGGAGAACATCTCTGATGAGCTAATTGCTTCCAGTAAAGCATTGATTATCCAAGCATCTGGATAAAATGAAAGTGATACACTCGCTAGCTTAAGAACCCAAAAGTTCTTGGCAGTAAAATTGGCCTGCTTCTCAGTCTCCCACTCACAAAGGATGCACTGAAACAGCACACAAGGCATGCTGCTTTAGCAACCATTGTGAGCAAATCATCTCACATTCTCCAACTACATCCACATCATTTGGATGGATACTCTGGGGCAGCAGTGAGTTGAAGCCTATTATGATGATCAGGAATTCAGTTCCACCCAATATTGAGACTGTTGTGAAGGGTAAGTGCAAGAAATGATGTGCTGGAAATTGTTCTTGCAGTAAGAACAATGTGCCCTGCTATAGTGGATGATACTGCCAGGGGAAAACGAATTTGTGCACCATATCTGTGTATTTTGAGCAGGATGGTAGTGACATAGAGTGGAATAGAATAATTACTACCACTGCAGTAAGCTGCAGAAACTGTCATGTGTCTTTTGTGAAAAAAGAAAAACATTAATGGTGTACCTTTTATCATGCCATGGTGATTATGGACTACTTAGGGTACGAGTGTAATATTATATGGCCAATATGCCAAACGTATATGGTAATCACACTGAAACAGGTTTAACAATAAAACTTGCAAACTTTGATTATTACACGCTTAATGTATACTTAATTCTTTTGTTTATAACGTGTAAGTAGCAAGTACTGAATAAAAGATCTCACTTAGCGAGAAAGCATTGTATGTCATTATATTTACCATCACCATTGCTAATAAATAGCAACCCTATTCATATAAAAGTAACTAAGGATAATGTGAAATTATATAACCACAATCATCTTCAAGATGTTCTGAAGCCTATAAATACTTTAATAGAAACAATATTTTGGTCATTAGTTTAGAATCCTATTAACCCACTGCCATATATTATGCAAGAGTGTATGACCATGACACCTCCAGATTTTGACGTAAATTAGCAATAGGGTGACATTATAAATACCTTTCTGTAAAGTTCCCTGCATATTTGCCAGAGAGGTGGCCACCCTGGATGTGTTCCTTATGATCTACCCTTTTACAGCAAGCCATGTCCATTGGACCCCAAAACTGGCCTTGGTTCCCTGGGTAATTTGTATCATGGCATTTAGTTTACGTATTGTTGTACAAGTGATTTTATGGCAAAAAAGTGAGTTAGTTAACTTCTTGAGTACTACACGAGTAAAATTTGATCTGACTTTTTCTTACAGTTCTAGAGATAGGGACGGCTGGATCAACCTGTAAAGAAAGGTGGAGGAAGACTATCGTAAAGGGACATACTACAAGTTTTTCACACCCCTTTAATTAAAAAATAAAAATTACGTTCTTTTTCACAGTTCCACTTTTGGATGTGATGAGGTGCTTGAGTTAACTTTCTCCAAGTGGCAAGCAGGGTAAAGTTCAAAGCTTACTTATTTAATTCTATTAGAAGAATAACAAAGTAATTAATTAGAAAGATAAGCTATTTTTGTTCAACAAATAAAATAATAGTTGCAGGTGAACTCACCCTTGGTCTGCAGTTTGCACCACCCATTGGCTAAATGATCCAGCAAGAACCAATAACAGTTCTCCATATGATGAAAATCTGAGGGTTTATTGGCATATTTAAGGCAGTGTTTGAGTTTGACAATTTCAATAATTTTTTCATTACTTCTAGCAGATCTCTATCGCTGTAGTTTTTCATTAAGTTTCACAAAATTGTAGTTGTGTGCATAGTTCACTTTTGTATGATTCTTTTATTTAAAACTAATGTATAGCTTGTCAAAAATTAGGAGGCATGTACTACCACCCCTACCCCTTAGCATACCCTAACCTGACATTTCATAGCTAACTGGAATAAATAAATTTCACAAAATCAAGCTTGACCAACAGAGGCAGAAAAGTGCAGTCGAGACAGTCAAACATCGGTAAATTCCTTTGTGAGCCAATCAAAATTAAGATCATTCATGAAATGCATTCGTGGCATATTCATAGAATAATTATTGGTAAAAATTAGTTAGATTAACAACTTCTAATATATAGAAAAGCAATAGTGTGTTTTGGTAACAATACATTCCAACAATAGCTTTTATATCATGTTACTTAGCAACAAAAGTATAATTTAATATTGTTGGTAGTCTATGTACTGAAAGTATAAACTGAAATGTATAGACAACAAAACTGGAAAAATATTTGTTGATTTTTTATTTAGTCTCCATTGATTAAAAGAGGTTTGTTTTTATTAAAAACATCAGTGATAAAGCAGAAAATAGCTTAATTCAGAAACAATTTAAGTTTAAATCTGAATCAATATTTATACTTTCATGATAAATGTTATGCACTTGGCTCAATGCTAGGTGATTGCACACTACGTCTGTACTTTAGGCTTATTATACCAACACTCACTACACTTATAAGGTTTCACAGAAAAAAACCCTCATGCCCCCCTTGCACCCCATCACTAAAATTGTAATGGGCAGACAGTAATCGAACTATTCTATCTGGATAAATGCATTTTGGCTTTTATGACTCCTGTTTCGAGAAATCAAGTGTTATATGATGTGATACACACTGGCTTTTATATAGGTTAGATGATTCCAGGCAATTTGTGGGTTTACATCCACATTGAATTTGCTTTAAGTGAACGAGTTTAGTATTTTGTTTCCCATTAAGAGTGAAGTATTTGTAGAACGCTTGCATTTTTTAGAGATTAATTGTTAATTAAATCCAAGTAGGAATTTGGATTTCACCAAGTTCAGCAAGGTTCCATTTTTGTTACTATTTTATTATTGCTTAACTGGGATTGTTTTCACTTCGATTAATTTACAAGGTGGAACTACACACACACACAACTTGAGTTTTTTTGTTCATTAAAGTCTTCATTTAGATTTTCTCAGTCACATACACTAACCACTTGCACATTGTCTTGTATTATTTATATCATATGATACTGTATTGTTTTGTGCTGTGATATTGTGATTAAACATTTACTGAGTAAACATTTTCTCCCAATACACTTGTTGCAACTTGAAAGGAAAGACAAACCACAACCTGACATCTCAGAACCTCCTGCTGTTAGTGGGCCCAATTTCTCTGCTCTGCTGGTTATTCCAGAGATACCGCAGCATCTACAAGTTTACCCTGAATGATACAAGCAAACTGTGTAGTAAGATCTACGATTAAGTTATGGAAATTCTGATAGTGATGGAAATAGCAGTTAACAATATGACTGTCAACAAGAAACTTTCAATTATTGCAGTAAAGAGAGCTTCTGTACGATACCTTAGTGCTTGTGCAATAAGCCATATGGAAAGTGGGAGAGTAAAGAACTTTGGGTAAGTAACGTATACTCTGCAATGAATAAAGGACACTTGGAAATTTGTGTCGCATGTTTTGTTAACTGCATGAATTCATTCTCAACAAGAAGACTTTCATTACTTAAAAGGTAAGTACCTATATGAAACTCATGTTAATTCTAAAAATGTAAAATTTCAAGACTTTTTAACATGACATAATATTTTGGGACAACATGGGACCTATTGGTCCATCACGATTGTTCCATCCTCCAAACTAAATTAAAATTATTAAAAAATAATAATAATAAAATTTTAAACCCAACCCTTTTCATTCATGTACTTATCAAGCTTTTTCTTAAACTCACTTAAATTTACTGCCTCTACAACATCTGAAGGCAACTCATTCCAAAGGCCAACCACCCTGTTAGAAAAATAAAACTGTCTTAGCTGAAGATGACTCTTACCTTGCCAAAATTTATATTTGTGTCCCCTAATCCTACTATTCTCATTGTTAAATATAAAAAATGATGATGTATCAACATTATCAATTCAATTTACAATCTTAAACACCTCAATCATATCCCCCTAACTCTTCTTTTTTCAAGAGAAAACAATTTGAGAAATTTCAGCCTCTCTTCGTATGACAACTCCTCCATCCCAAGCACCATTCTAGTAACCTTTCCAACAATTCAATATCTTTCCTTAGAGAAGGAGCCCAAGACTGAACATAATACTCCAAATGTTGCCTAACCAGTGACCTGTACAATGAAATTCTAACCTCTTTAGACTTATGTTCAATATTTCTTTTGATACAACCTAAAATCGTATTTGCCCTACCATTAGCAATAGCACATTGCTTGGATGGCTTTAGAGACTGATCGACTATTACACCAAGATCCCTTTCCTTGATAACACTATTAAGGTTATTCCTATCCAAATTATACTTATAATTCAAATTATAATAACCCACATGCATTGTCTCGCATTTATTATAATTAAAACCCATCTGACATTTATTTGCCAAACTCACTAAATGATATAAATCCTTTTGTAAATCAGCAGCATCCTCTTCACAACTAGTAACACCCAAGATCTTTATATTATCTGCAAATCTAAGTACTTTATTGACTATCCCTTCATATATGTCATTGATGTAAATCAAAAACAGCAAATGTCCTAAGACTAAGCCCTGAGGTACCCCACTTGTTACATTAATCCAGTTTCACTGAACTCCATTTGTAACAACCATCTGCTTTCTTCCACCCAGCGACTCTTCTATCCAATTTGCTAACTTATCCCCCACACCTATAGAGATAATTTTTTTACGAGCCTTTTATGTGGAACCTTGTCAAATGCTTTCTGAAAATCCAGATACACCAAATCTACACCCTTACCCTCATCTACATAAACAGTAACCTTTTCAAAGAATGTTAAAAGATTTGTAAGGCAAGATTTTCCTGTAGTGAAACCATGTTGATTATCCAATTAAATTCTAAACTTTGTTAAATGACTTTACAAAGCATCTTTTAACAGACTTTCCAAAAAATTTTCCACAACTGATGTAAAACTAATGGATCTATAATTACTGGGACAATTTTTATCACCTCCCTTGAAATGAATAGTTACATTAGCTAACTTCCAACCCTCTGGAACCTGCCCACTATTCAAGGACTGACAAAAAATAGTAGCAAGTGGCTCATATATTCAATCCTAACCTCCTTCAAAATCTACGTGCTAACTGGGTTTGTGAAAACTGTGACAGCATAAATGGTCTAACTAAAGATGTATTTCTTGACCATCTTAATATTGCAGGAAAATAATTGTTGATAGATTTTTACATATAATAATGTATGGTTAATTATAAGTATACTCCCATGGTTAATGATTTCTTGTACATCAACACACATAAAAAAACATATACATTTTTTTAGTAAATTTTCCACACTTAAGAAACTAGTTAGTCTTCATGCAAGTTCATGGACGAAATAATGGTTAATTTCTAAAATAGTGCCAAACACAGATATTGTATTACCACACTTAGCTAAAATATGACATAGATGTACGAAAAACATACGGAATGAACTGCTTTAAGCATGATAAAATCTAAAAAACAAATGCAAGGTCTTGTCTACTTATAATATGTTATAGAAAAACTATAAAAGTGACAAACCATAAAATGAAAACTTATGTTAAATGAAGTAAAAGTTTACGAAGCTAGTATTATACCTTTATTCTAAAATATATTTTGTGACTGCTACCAATATTGACTATTACTAATCGTTCACAAATACTTTTCATATAGGTAGGATGTACACTTGAATTCTATTCTTTTGGGAACAAAATCTATATATGAATCTCAAAAAACTTAATAGACCTTTAAAAAGGTTTAACTGGAGACTCAACTTGATATATAACAGCGTATGTGGTGTAATAAAAAAATAACCGTACAATTCTTCAAATCTTGCATTTATACACAATGTATCCAATTAGCTAAACCAACTATTAGAAATTCAAATATTACAAAATATTTTGCAAGTCACCTTACAGTAATCACTGTTTAGAAAAAAGGAAGCAAAAAACTTGCATGGATAGCCTGGGCTATTATTACAAATACACATTTCATTATTTTAGTATGAATATTTAGTTAATTTTCTTAAAAAAACCATAGTTCGGAAATAATTTTATTTTGGAAGGTAAAATTCCAATTCATAGAGAGGAAAAAACATGTATATATATATATGTATATAGAGATAAAAATCATTCTTATTGTAAAATAAACAACTCACATTCTACTAGATACATTCTGAAGAAGGCACAATATACTTTTCAACTTTTTCATTTTTCCAACACATCGTTTATATGAATAAGGTTACTATTGTCATGGGAATTCAGTATCACATACATGTCAATATCAGTAAAGTACAAAGACAAGTTGTTTTACCATCAAACACTTGTTAATGTTCATGCTGTGTCTTGAATAGTTACGGTTTTTCACAACAAGACATACGATATGCTCAAAAATCGAGACAAAACACATTCTATCCACACATGCTTTTAACACTGAAATCTTTCTCTATGAAAACAGTTACATTGGGACATGCCTAAACAAGTACGTAACACTCTCCCCATTGTGAGTGCGCCGGATGGCTTCAGCCAGGATGGTTGAGACATCAATGCACTGCAAAGACACAAAATAATAAAATACTAAGTTTGCTCTACAGCTTAAGCAAGAAAAAGTTGTGCTGTTAGTAAACTTGCTGTGCTAAATGTCTTAATGATTTGAACTACTCCAAAAAATTATGGAGAAAATACTGAACATCATCTGAAATTCAGACATTAATAAATTTCAAAAATAAATGCTAGTGTTGTTGTGTTCCACTTGTTTCGTTAGTATACAGCCATCTTGACACATTCTGTACATAAAAAGTGTTGTTGTGTTCCACCTGTTCCGTTAGTATACAGCCATCTTGACACATTCTGTACATAAAAAGTTTTGTTGTGTTCCACTTGTTCCATTAGTATACGGCCATCTTGACACATTCTGTGCATAAAAAGTTTTGTTGTGTTCCACTTGTTCCGTTAGTATACGGCCATCTTGATGCTTTCTGTACATAAAAAGTTTTGTTGTGTTCCACTTGTTCCGTTAGTATATGGCCATCTTGACACATTCTGTACATAAAAAGTGTTGTTGTGTTCCACTTGTTCCGGTAGTATACGGCCATCTTGACACATTCTGTACATTAAAACTTGCAGAACCCTTCAAAATTTATTGTCTTACTGATCAAATAAATCTTTTGTTTTTAAATAACCGAGTGACAGTGTTACCCACTGGTACCAGGTAGAACAGGTTGTTAAATCACATAAATTCACAGACAAGAGAGCTTGTTTTGGGAAGGTTGTACACATGCTATTAGACAACTGGTCTGTACATTACAGAAAATGGACAAATTTGTAAACTGAAGTATTTATCAGTGAAAAAATTTTAAGGGATAGACTCCACGAGTGTGATGTGAAGTTCACAAGGTAGGTTTTGCCCTGGCAGTTTATAGGTGGCACCACAGAATGTGTTACATCAGAATTTGCTACAACACTATTACAGACCCAGTACTACTAACATGCAAGGGAAGGTTGACACGAGTGACATACTCAGAGCAGCGTGTGTTTATTCCAAAGGCAGTTCAATTATAGTATAGAATGGTAACAGACATACAGAACTTACCATGCTTTCCAAGAATGGATTAACTGCTGCCTGACAACTTACAGAAGTAAAGACGGCCTATCTACATGACCATTTTGAAAGCAGTTCAATTGTGATGTGGGGGATAAATAGTTGTATAGTTCTTCTACAAGCTGGATTTAGTTGTCTATCTCATATTGGCATGACTTTCACAGGTGCTATATTCTGTCTTGTTGCATAACAGTAGCTGTTATAATACTTGTAAAGAAACAAAAAACCATAGAGACCATGGACTACCAGCAAGAGTACTAGATTTAAATTCAACATAACACAACAGGAACATCAAAGCCTTGACTCATTATGCAACATCACAGTATTATAATAATAGAGAATGGGTTAGAATTTTCATAATATAGTCTACTAACTGACCAATAGTACAAAACTAGATGGGGGGGGGCAATACTTGTCGATGAGTGTCTGATGTTGACTAATGCGAGTCTTTCAGACCGAGTCAGTTACTCCTAAAACACATTTTTCTAAAGTAGTTAATAATTAAATAGCTTGTAGTTCTATACCTTTGTTTGTTCCATGGTCTTTAATGACATAGAAGTAACATCAATATTACAATTAATCAGAATAATTACTTGCTGGAGTTCTCTCTATGTATTTTACATGGGAAATTAGTAATTTCAAACAATTTGTTTATATACGTTTGGTCATTTCTTTATAGTGAGTGTTATAACAGAAAAATCAATTTAAATTACTCATTATGACACAGTATGTTGTCCCTACCAGTAGTGGACAGTATAAAGACAAGTTGGTAGTCGGAGTGGTCTGTCGAATACTAAATCTGCTTTGGATCTGAGGGTATTCACATTCCACAAGTTGTAGTTATCAATATGCTAACTTTTAACTCGCTCAGTAAATGAAATAAACTCTACATAAATACAACTTTCAGTTATGTTGTCCATTTATTTATAATCAAAAAATATTTTCTCTAATTCTTTGGAGTAGTGTATGGAGCATCTACTTGAGTTTGGCCTACCTATTTATAATAAATAATCACAAATGTAGCAGAGCATGCAATACTCTTTACCAAAACTACCAAATCAGCATAAATTATAGATGCAGGATTAGAAATTCAACAATAATCTTCTAAATAATAATGAATTAAATCATTCAGCTAATAAGAAAATTTTAGTTAAAATAAGTGATACACAAACACTGCATACTCTCTCTTAAATTTCAATTTAAATCTAACGTACCAAAATTCGAAGTTAGTAATTAATACGATCAAAATTTCACTTTAACCTTAAAACTAGTTGCAAACTTTTTATTTCAGAGGTTTGTAATTCAGCTCTATAAACCATCATACTGATATGTGTTATGACCTTTTCAGATTGGAAATGGATTTAGTGAAATTCACAAATAAGCGTGGTTTTTTTCTTTTATAATTTATAACTTCCACTAAATATCATTAGATTTGACAAAAAGAAAAATATTCACACTAGACTCAAATACAATATGACACAAAGCTAATGTACGGCACACTACCTACACTGACTGACCTCTCATGTATGGTATGTGTAGAACACTTGTTTAAAATGCATCCTTTATGCAAGTACCCTCAGGACCTGAGTGAAATACATGGGGCCATATCCAACCCAAAGGGAAGGACCTGGAATGGGAAAATCCAACTGTCATGAATGAATCAGAGAGAGAACTGGGTTTTCAACAAATTGGAATTTGAAGAAATGCATCCAAAAGAACGACTCTGGTTCCCAATAGTTACAGAAATAAAACCCACCACAGATTAAGAAAATCATCATTCTTAAACTGAGAAATAACAAGAAAATAATTCGAGGACAAGAGAACAATGACAGGCCACCAATTACCAATCTTCAATGGAACAACAAAAAATGGAAATAAAACTCCAAGGTTCAAGGTTCTGGTCCACAGTATTCATAACCTGGCAAAAAGGTACAGCATACTATAGGCACCAAAGACAAAAATAACTAATGTGGTTGTAAAATACAAGAAAAGCCTCCTATGACAAAGTACCTGTGTGTGAACCAAAGGTCTTCTACAAAGGGAGTCTACAGGAACACAAAGTGGGAAAGTGGAGCTCCCACCACACCAAAGCTAAGAGGTGTTTTGAGGAACAAGTCACCTGCATGATCCACAACACCCAGCCCTATGAGATGGGGATATCAAAAATAAATGAAAGGATGAGGAGCAGGAGAGGGGGCAACTCTCAAGGATGAGAAGTCTGTAGGGATGCCCTGAACTGAGCAAAGCAAGCAGAGAATACTGCTCACGAGCAGAGTTTATAATGAATAAAGAATTAGCTTACAAACATCTCTACAAAGGAAAAATGCCACATGGAGGACCCTGAGGTAAAACTACAGGAGGCAACTCCAGGAAGCCAAGCAAATCCCAGAAACCAAGTTAACTGTAATGCTGCAGATGATTTTAGAAATTGAAGCTAAGGCGATGAATGGGTAGGTGTGAATACTCCCAATCCAGTGAAGCTGTCGAGTTTGTAATGTAGAGCCTTTAAAAGAAGGTGAAGTGTGGGCAGATATCAAGGAGCTGAGTTAGAGTAGGATGAAAAAAGAGCAGACTGAGGGCAAGAGAGAAACAAAGAATGAGAAGGAGGAGATCCTTAAGCCGGAAGAAGAGATTCAATGGACTGAAACACAAAGAAAGAAGAATCATGATGAAGTGCTCCAATAAAATTCTAAGGTCTGGGAGAAGGAGGCAGCTGGAGTTCAGTATGAAGTCAAAGCAAAAAGGTATTGACATGAACATTAATATCAGTGGAAGATGAAAAAGAAGACAAAAGAGGTTCTTGCAGCAAAGTACTGGGAAAAAACAACTGGAGTAAAAGCAAAAAAGTCAAATACCTATGAAAATAATTGTGTAGAGGACAAAGATATATCTGTTTTTCACTGGGAAAGGAAAATAACAAGCAAAAGCAGGTGAAAATAATCAAAAAACGAGGCAGGTTCAGCTGAAGTGACAGAAGCATGAGGTTAGAAATCCTGTATCTGAGACTAAAATGAACCAATTACCTGGTGTAAAATGGCTGTAACATCACTACTTGTGTGCCTCCACTTGCCACTGAAAACAGTAACAGATGACTTCTGTTGTGGAGTATCATGGCTCAGATGTCATAAATATGGATAGATGAATTCAATCCATTTTTGTTCTGTTCTTTTTGTTGGATGTACAAAACTGTTTAGTTTATGAGTTATTATTTAGTTTATTTAGTGATTTAATTTTAATGATTATTTAGTTTGCATAAGAAGGGTGTTAAAAGTTAATTATTTTAAAAGTGACAGTTATGACAAATTTTGTTACGTAACTCTTGGGAGTCGTATGTTGTGCATGCAGTTTGATTGTTGTACTAGGCTTTGGTAATATTGTTGACATCATCTTACTCAAAGCTTCCAAGTTTTTCTCATTACAGGAATACTGTTGTCACTAGAGGGCTAGGTATTTCTAGATTTTTCTGTCACGTCTTATAAATATGTGCAGATACAGAGTGGAAGAAGTTAAAGTTTAACCGAAATGGGCAGCATCTAAAGTGAATTTCACATTGGTATTGTAACAACAGAGATAAAGAATAATAATTTGTCTTGTCAAAGGGTGCTATAAAGTAACTGAACCTGCCTGTGTGGACTTTAATGAAAAGGAGACAATTATTTAAAGCTCTGGATACAACTGTGGTAACCAATGGGGTAACATAAGTGAATTTATCACTGATTCTATTGTGAGAAAGATAAATAGAGAAGAATAATTCGTCTTGTCAATTGGATTCTAAATAAATTGAATCAGCCTGTGTGGACTTTTGACAAGAAATGAGAATTATTTAGAGTTTTAGATACAACTGTGATATCCTATAGTGTAAAGAATTTTTGTACCTATGTTTGACTTGTTTTCAATATATTATTTTAAAACAAGTGGATTGTCTGCTGGCTGTTTATTGTACAAATTCATCACCAACAAGTCACAGACACCTAATGTACTGTTTTTTTCAGGTTGATCTGACATGTTTATCGAAACTCATACACTGGGTTAATAGCAATGGGGAAATGTACTGGCAAAGAAACCATGTTACAGATTCTTGAACATGTGTTCCAAAATTTCATAATTTGATGAAGAGAAGAAATTAAATCAGAAGTTCTAATTGAAATGCTTACAATTTTTGTATCTGATTTTTTCAAAATCCAGAAAATAAAAGTACGACTATGAATCGCAACTAAACGTTTAAAATAATAAGTGCAAAAATTCTGTAATTCTTAAAGACAAAAAAACATGTTTAAGACCCAGCAGTGTGTTAAAAGGAATGAGCTTGTGGTAAAACATTGTACTCAAGAGGACTACTGCGATGGACGATGTGTTGCTCTCTTGCTGGTGCAGGCAAGCATTTTATAAAGTCTAAACCAATCAAGATCCAGGAAATTATCACAACAAAAGATGGCCTAACTTCTCATTAATCACCAGGCAGTTTATAATTCACTCATTATTGCTTGCCATAAAAACTTCAACAATGTAACTTATTTTTAAATGAATGCTTACTTTATATTTTTACAGTTCTTACACATTGTTTGCTTTTTTCAAGTTCCCCAAGGAAGTGTGTTTTTAAAACTTTAAGGTGAGTACTGCATATCTGTGCTAACAAAACAATGACAATGTTTCCACCATTGGTTTTCAATAAAAACCTTAATAATATTATATTATACTGGTCATCTGTCTACAACCCTTTATTATCTCCACCCATACATTTATGCCAATTGTAGTACTGGAAAAAAAAAAACCTTCCATGGATGATAAAGGGTTAAAAATCAACATAATGGTCAAATGAAACTATTGGTTTGAGGAACATTTAACCTTTGTTTCAATGCAGGAATTTGGACTAACTGTGGTGTTTTTGTTTGCTTTGGTCAGTTCAGTAGCTACTATACAAAAAAAATCCATGGCTAAACATTTTTTAATGTAATGTTCATTATATTGCTAACCTGAAGTATCACAAATATCATTTTTACAACAAAACTTGAAAGGTGATATTGGTGTGACATTTTGCTGCTTCAAATACAATTGTTACATCTTTGTTTATAAAAAAAATGACAGCTCTGAAATAATTACTCACTTGTTATGTCTGCATAACAAATACATCAGTAATAATATTGATTTGGTACAGCTTCATAACAACTGGTAATCCAGATTAATTCTGTTTTATTTAAAAGAAAAATATTACGTATTCATGCTGATAAATTGATAATAGAAATGCAGTTTATTTTTTTTCAGTCAATTTTACTGGTCTCTCTTGATGATTAAAACATGCTAGTTTTCCACCTGAATATACTCATTATTTATATACACCTGGAAATAAGTTAAGCACCCCCAAATATTTTTCAGGATTGCTTATTGAAAATAAGGTT